CTCCATGACCACCCCCGATCCACACGGCCCTCCATGACCACCGGACCTACATGGCCCTCCATGACCACCGGACCTACACGGCCCTCCATGACCACGCTGCTGCCCTGCAGGCCATCTCAGCGGGTCCCTCCTTCCACGGCCCTCCATGACCACCCCTGATCTACACGGCCCTCCATGACCACCCCCGATCTACACGGCCCTCCATGACCACCCCCGATCTACACGGCCCTCCATGACCACCGGACCTACACGGCCCTCCATGATCACCCACGATCCGCACGGCCCTCCATGACCACCCCCGATCTACACGGCCCTCCATGACCACCCCCGATCTACACGGCCCTCCATGACCACCCCCGATCCACACGGCCCTCCATGACCACCCCCGATCTACATCAGCCATCTCCCTGCTCCTACCTCAGAGCCCCTCACTGAGTCACCTGTCTCCACTGTCCATCTCCTGCACTGAATGGCACCTCTATGACAACCTGACCTGTCCTGTTGGGGCTGCATGAGCTTTGAGTTGCTCTAGAATGGAGCCAGGTACATAGCAGGTGCTCAAACCTGTCAGTGAACAGGTAGACGACACCCACCTGGAACCTCCTTGGGGCATGCCTCCCCCACCTTGTTGACTGCAGCCCCAGGGAATGGGAACGGGGGCCCAGGCTTGGTTACAGGGTGTCACAGTGGCCGGTTCAGGGACGGCCTGAGCCCAGCTGGGCCAATGCAGCAGGCTGCCAACTGGGTGAAATCCATTTCTCCTGGTGACTCTGAGCATCCTTGATAATGCTAGGCACTGGCCTGCCAGGACGAGCGCCTGGGATGGCAGGACCATGCGCAGGGGGTGGTGGGAGGGCACGAGCCTCCTCGATCCATCTGTCTCCGGTCAATGACAAAGGGTTCTGCTCTCGACCCCCGAAGTCCTGAGTCACTCAGGGTAGGAGGCTGGATTCAGGCCTACCTCCTTGTGCCAAATGTCGCAACGGGCCTGTGTGAGTGTCTGTGGATGTGGCTGTGTCAGTGTTTGGAACTGATGGCAGAGACTTGTGTGTGGTGTGTGTGTGTGTGCCTCTGGACTGTGAGGCCCGAGGACACGGTCAGGCTGCCCCGGTCCCCTCCACTCCATGCTCATAGTGGGCTACTCTGTCGAAGTTTGTTGAATGAAAAGAACTGAGGACATTATTCTAATGTGAATAAGGGCTTTTTTTTTTTAAAAATGTCAATGAACATCTACACAGATTTTGGAATTCCATTCATTCATTGTTGCACTTTTCTCCCCGCCCACCCCACATATAAGGGCTTTTTTTTTAAAAAAAAAGGTTTTTTTATTCTTAGATGCTTGTGATTTTTAGTTAAGGCTTTTTAAAATTTGAACAAACACGTGCACAAACTTGAAGACTGCCAGACTCATTCTTACAAATTTATTATGGCCCCTCCCCAAATCGCTAGTGTACACAAACTGGCGACTAGGCCCAGGGACAGTGACCCATCCCCAGGTCGCCATGAACGCTGAGAAGGCTTGTTCTACGCCCCACGCCCCCCTTCACCCAACCACAGTGGGTGGGGCTGTGCCTCAGGGTCCCCCAAGGACTGGCCATGTGTGAGGACACGGCGAGGCTGAGTTTGAAGTCTGGGATGTGTGCAGAGGGGAGGAAGGATGGGTCTGGCCCAGACCACCAGCCTCACATCCCACCTCTGTGGTGTCGCCGCTGCAGGTGTAGCCTGGTGCCAGGGGCTTCCACCCTGTGCCTCAGTTTCCTCATCAGAGTCAGGTAGGGATTGTGCAAAGCACCTAGAACTGTGCCTGGCACCAGCCAGAGCTCAATCAGCTGGAGCCTTTTTTTTTAAATTATTATCGGCTGGAGCCATTTGTAGACAGACGAGCGAGGGGTTGAGGGCTGGGATGTCACAGCTCCCGACCTTCACAGCTGTGCATGGACATCAGGCACTGGGCCTGGCCCCGCGTCTTGTACTGGCCTCTCTGCCGCCTCCCTCCCCTTATCATTTAGCCATCTCTTCCCTCTTCTAGAAGGTCCTTTCAGGACTTCTCAACTCTATGGCTTTCTATGTGGGCAGGTGTTGTGTCCGGGTAATTTTTAACCACAGAGCGTAAAGTGAAGGGAAAGGAAATGGGAGAAGTCTCCTTCCTGGGAATCTGGTTCGCTCTAGGATCTCCAGCACAGAGGATGAAGCTGTTTGCTTCTTAAGAGACCTCTGGCCTCCCAAACCCTGAGGGACACTGTGTGTGTGTCAGAGGGTCTACTGCTTGGATCAAGTGGGTGGCAGTAGGTGGGTGGGTCAGCTGCTGCTCCCTCCTAACTCGATTCTTTCTCAGGGGAGTCCTAGTAGCACTATGGTTAAGGCATTCATTCCGCTGTGGCCCAAAAGAGAAGTGGTTTAAACTCCCCACCCGCTCCAAAGGAGGCAGATGTGCCAGTGTGCTTCTGTGACAGTGACACCCCTGGAGGCTCTGTGGGGCCATTCTGCTCTGGGAGAGGGTCGCTGGGAGGTGGGATTCACTCAGCAGCTTCAGGCAGAGCTTCTGGGGTGGCGGGGAGGGGCTCTGGGAGGAGGCTTCTGGATGCCCTGCACTTTTGTGTGGGGGGCACCTCCCCACTCCACATCCTCACTCCTGCCTAAGGTAGCAATCCTCGGGCACCAGAAGCCAAGGATAATCTGGGCTCCTGCCAGCTGCTCTTCCTGGGACCTGACTCTCTGCTCCTACCATGTCCCCACCCAGGAGGAAGGGGTCAGGGCCCGTCCCCCATCAGCTGGGGGCCTTGGGCACATCTCTCTACGCCCAGAACCTTAGTTTCCTCACCTGGGAGAGGGCTCACAGGATCACTCTGTGTCCTGGCCCCAACATGATCCTCCCAGAATCTCTGCTAATTATAAGCCTTGTGCCCATTAAAAAAACACAACAAAACCAAAAAACAAAAACTGGTTAAACACACTTTTTATCAATTCCAACTTATGGTGATGAACCTCTATCTAGTTTCTGAGCTGCAAATCTTAACCAAATCAACTTTGTCCTGCAGAGCAGCTGGTGGGCATGAAACGCTGACCTTCGGGCAAACAGCCCAATACGTAATGTTACATCACTGGGGCTCCCACTGTGGAGACCCACGGAAGGACGTGTTCTCAGATACACCCTCAAGATGACTTCTTCACCCCAGGTTCCTTCAATTCAGAAACATCCACATCTGCAAATAGAACTCAGCCTGGGTGGGGCGGCCCCCACCCAGCCTAGAATCCTGGGCGGGATGCCAGGCGGGGAGGAAGCGGATCTGGCAAGTGGACCGACTAGTCCGTTTCCAATGTGGGAATATCTTTTTTGGGGTCGGAAGTATAATGAGTTGAACGTCGGCCCCAGAAAACATCTGTCCCTGTCCCAAGTCCCAGAACCTGTATGACCCTCCTTGAAAAAGGGTCTCTGACATAGGTGTGGTGAGGTGGGCGCCTGGGTTTAGAATGGACCTAAAGCCACTGAAGCATCCTGGTGGCGCAGGGGTTAGCCATTCGGCTGCTAACCCAAAAGTGGGCAGTTTGAAGCGGACAGCCTCTCCTTGGGAGAAAGACAAGGCAGCTGCTTCTGTACGGGGCAACCTGGAAACCCCATGGGCAAGTGGGTCCACGCTGCCCTTCAGGGTCACTGAGTGGACTTGACAGGGTGGGTTTAAGGTTGGTGACAAGTGTTCACCAGACACTGGGGGGAGGGGGGCAGGGCTTGACACAAGCAGCCACCAGCAGAGACATACGCTTAGAAACCACAAAGGTCTCCCCTAGAGCATCCAGAGGGGCCCTAGAACTGGAGAGGCAAAATCCCTGCTGTTCTAAGTCACCAAGTCTGGGGTGATGTGGTGGGCAGCCCTCCCTCTTGACACGAATACCAGAGGGCTGAGGACGGGTTGGGGGGGCCTGGGTACAAGCTACAAAGGGGGACCATTCAGAGCCTTGAGGGGAGGGTGTGGGCACAGGGATCAACCTAGCTGGCTGTAAAGAGGAGGGGAGGCCTTCTACTTCACATATGGGGGGGGGTGGCAGTTCGAGAGGCCAGCCGAGGAAGAAGAGGGGAGAGGACATCAGGAAGCGAAAGGCCAAGTGGCTCTGGAGAACGTACCAGGGGCTGAGAGGAAACCCAGATGTGGGGGGATGAGGTCTCCACGGGCTCAAATTTTCCAACTGAGGGAAGGGATGTTTAGGGAGAGGCGGGCTCTGGCCTGGACTGAAGAGCTGGGAGAGGCAGTCTATGGGCCAGGTTAGGGAAGAAGACCTACAGCTCAGAGGATGGATAGTGGGTATGGACAGAGGCTGCTGCCCAGCAGGGGGCCACTTCAGATGAGGAGACAGCACTTAAAGAGAAAGAAGTTTCTTACAACAGTGTGTGCACTGGGCCACAGGAGAGGCCGCTCTGTGGTAGTGGAGCCGTCCCAGGGAAAGGGAACCCCGTCCCAGAGCAGTCCCGCTCATGCCAACGAGGGCACACTAACTTAACAGACTGGCGGCTGACAGCGCTCCATTCCAGGCTACGGCTCTCTCTCCCCAAAGAGGATCCTGTGGGCTGGACCTCACAGGTCTAGTAGTTTGGCGTGGGGTGGATCATTCAGCCAGACGTAGGCAACACGTCTTCCTCGGCTGGTCTCAGTGGAAGGTACCACTGGTCTGGTCATCAGGGAGATGGCTGAATGTCCAGTTGGGTCAGCACCAGTCTAAGATGGGGGTTTCGGCGAGGCCAGTGCCAGCGAGGTGTGGAGACGGTTTTGTGGGGTGCCCAGCACAGGTCCAAGTCCAGGACCCGGTGTCCCCTACTTCTCCCGCATGGCTTCGGCTTGGGTGCTAGGTGCTGCCCGGGTGGCCGAGGACTTCTGTGCGGAGGGAGGTCCGTCGGGGGCGCAGAGCTGGGCCTGCACTTCCTGCAGCTGTACCTGCAGCTCCTCCAGAGCGCTCGGCGAGGGCAGGGCCTGGACCTGCGTCTGCAGGGCATCCAGGGCGAGGGCCAGGCGGCCCACCTCGTCCAGCAGCGAGTTCCAGGCTGCGCGCTGCTCCTCCTCCTTGTTGCGCTGTTGCGACTGGTGGCGCCAGTACTCCAGCACCAGGCAGCCACCGCCCACAATGAAGATGGTGGCCTCGCCCAGCAGCTCGGCGCCCAGCTCGGCCGCAGCCTCCTCGTTCAGCGGCTTGATGGCTGTGCCCCGGAAGCCCATGATGCGCATCTTGGTCCGCATCTCCACCCAGTGGTACACTGCGGGGGAAGACAGAGGTCAGGACACGCTTGGGGAGACCCGCTGCAAGCCTCCCCCCCAGCCCCCTCCCCCGTGCCTCAGTCTGCCCGTCAGATCAATGGGAACTCAGCGGCTACAATCACCAGGCCCCTTAAAACAAGACCTGCACTTGGCTCCACCCAGTGAATGCCAAGCAAGTCACGAGTCTGGGGTGGTCCCAAAGGGGTCTGAAAAGCACCCCGAAGATCCTAGCAGACAGCCAGGGATGAGAAAGCCTGTGCCGAGGGAAGGCACTCAGACCAGGGCCAAGGAGTCCTGGGCAGCTAAGTGCACAGAAGGTGCAGATTCAATGCCCGAGTCTCTGCTCCCCTTCAGCGCGCCACCACCCTGCCATCACCTGAAGGCCGACCAGCTCCTCACCTCTGTCCTACTCCCGCCCCCACACCCCTCACCTCCTGTCACCCCGCTTCCACCCCCCTCCCACGTGCCCAGGTGAAAAGCCCTCATGGCTTAGTGCTTAGAGGACTGCTAACAGAAAGCTTGGCAGTTCAAACCCACCAGCTGCTCTGTGGGAGAAAGGTGAGCATCCCTCGTGTAAAGATTTACATCTTGGAAGCCCAGTGGAGGGTCTAATCAATGGTGGCGGGGTTTGTTCCTTCCGATAGGCGTCCTGATGGCACAGTAGGTTAAACGTCGTGCTAACTGACAGGTCGGCAGTTCCAACCCACCACCAGCAGCTCTGTAGGGGAGAGATGGGGCGGTCTCCTCCAGTGATTAGAATCCACATCCCCAGGATACCTCTAAGATTGACATGTGTGTGCTGTGCCGTGATCTTCTCGGCATCTGAGAGCCTGGGTCCTAGACGTACACTGGCCTTCCACTGAGTTTAAGGACACTACTACTGTCACAGGGCTGAGGCTTCCCATCCCAGGACGTGCTTCTCTCTCCACTTCCTTGGTCTTTTGTTGTCCATTAAGGTTTCATTGTTTCCAGAGTCCAGGTCTTACACTTGGTTACATGTATCATCATTCCTAGGTAGGGGTGCTTTTTGGACGTTCCTGTGAATGGCATCCTAATTCCATTCTGTATTTGATTAGGTTGCTATGCAGAAAAGGAGCCCTGGTGGGGTAAATGGAGCCATGAAGGAGGCTGGAGGGCAGCATGCTCCACGGGAGAAAGCCAGGTGGTCTCCTCCCGTTTAGATTTACAATCTTGGAAAGTGATGGGGGGAGGGTGCCTCCGTGAGTCGGCATGGACCTGCCAGCAGTGAGCTTGGTGTTTCCATTTACAGAAACGTAACTGAGCTGTGCAAACGACTTGATACTCAGGACTTCAGCAATCTCACTTCTTCTTTTTTCCCCCTTTTTAATGCAATGTAATTCATATACAATACAGTGTACAAACACCAAGTGCAGAGCTTGAGAATTTTAATGCATGTACCTTCCACCTAGATCAGTGGTAGCTGGGTGATGTCAGTGGTTAAGCGTTCATACTAGCAGAAGAGAATTTAGAAGAGGCGTGGCCTCTTCACTGCTGATGTCAAATGGATCCTCGGTGAAAGTAAAGAATATGAGAACGTCTACTTATGCTTTATGGACTATGCAAGGGCATTTGTGTGGATCATAAACTTTGGCTGACACTGTGAAGAATGGGACTCACAGAACACTTACTTAGGCTCATGTGACACCTATACCTAGATCAAGAGGCTGTTGTGCAAACTGAGCAAGGGAATACAGCGTGGTTTAAACTTAAGGAGTGCACCAAGGTTGTATTCTCTCTCCATACTAACTCAATCTGTCTGCTGAGCAAATTATTCAAGAAGTTGGACACTATGAAGGAGAATGTGGCATCAAGATTGGAGGAAGACTCATCAATAACCTGTGTTACGTAGATGACACAGTCTTGCTTGCTGAAAGTGAGGAGGATGTGAAGCACTTGTTGCAGAAGATCAAAGAATGCAGTACTCAATATAGATTGCATCTCAAGGTCAAGAAATAGTTCTTCACACTGGACTGATACATGGCAACATCATGATGGAAAAAAGATAGAAACTATCAACAACTTCCTCTTACTCGGATCCATAATCAACACCCTTGGTACCGGCAGTCAGGAAATCAGGACATGTATTGCACTGGGAAATTCTGCAATTAGGGACCTCTCCAGATTAATGCTATCAGTCAACTACTGATCCTTCTTCTCTGTTCCCATATAGTCTTTGCAATCACTTGCTATTTATCAGAGAGCTGGACAATGACTATGGATGATACAAGGAGAACTGATGCCTTTGAGCTGTGGTGTTGGAGAGGAGTACTGAATAAAGCATGGACTGCTAGGAGAACAAACAGGTTTGTCCTAGAGAGTGTGAAGCTGGGCTGCTCCTTCGAGGCAAGGATTCTGAAGCTTTGTCTGACATACTTTGGACATGTTGTAAGGAGGGACTGGTCCTTGGAGAGGGACGTCATGCTTGGGAGGGTGGAGGGACAGCACAGGAGAGGAAGACCCTCAATGAGATGGATTGATTCAGTGACTGGGGTAATGGGGGTAGGTGTATTGGAGATGGTGAGATTGGCACAGGATAGAGCAGAGTTTAGGGCTGTTGTGCTATGAGTCGCAGGCAACTCGACGACACATAACAACAACAATGCTAACAGTTTGAGGACTAAGGTATGTCTGATTCAGGCCATGTCTTTCTTATCACTTGCTGTGCATCTGAGAGCTGGGCAATGAATAAAGAGGACAGAAGAAGAATGGATGCCTTTGAGCTGTGGTGATGGAGAAATGTACTGAACATTCGAGAGACTGCCAAAAGAACTGTGTCTTAGAGAAAGTGCAGTCAGAGTGCTCCTTGGAGGCAGAGATGATAAAGCTTTGCCTCACACGCTTTGGGCATGTTGCTAGGAGAGGCTATTCCTTGGAGAGGGATGTGATGCTCAGAAAGACAGAGGGTCAGCAAAGAAGAGGAAGACCTTCAACCAGGTGGACTGACACGGTGACTGCCGCAATGGGTTCTAGTGTGTCAGGAAGCATGAGGCTGGCACAGGACAGGACAGGGTTCAGATCTGCTGTTCATAGAGTCATTATGAGTCATATTTGACTTGATGGCACCTATTAACAAAAACAACAACTAGCTGAAAGGCTGGTGGCTCAGCTCCTCCAAGAGACACCTTGGAAGACAGGCCTGGGGCTCTGCTTCTGAAAGGGAACGGCTTTGAAGAGTTTGTGGAGCAGCCGTTCTCAGTACATGCAGGATTTCCATGAGCCGGACTTCATGGTAAGCACCACCACCACTCAAGGAGCTCTGGTGGCCTACAGAGTGAAGAGTTGCACTGCCAACCTAAAGGCAGAAGGTTCAAATCCACCAGGTGCTTTGTGGAAGAAAGACTGGAAATCTCTTTGAGAATTATAGCCTCTGAAAACCCACTAGAGGGTCAGCTATGAGTTGGTTCTGAATTGATGACAATCAGCTTTGGATTGAACACCACTATCATGCCTGATTCAAGCCACGGCATTTTCAATTGCTTCCTAAACATCTGAAAGGTTGATAATAAGGATGGCAGCACAATCAGTGCCTTAGAATTTTAGTGAAGAATACGGAATATCCCATGGACTGCGAAAAGAGCAAACAAATCTATCTTGGAGGAAACACAGCCAGGCTGCTCCTTGGAGGCAAGGAGGGTGTTAGGAAGGGCGAGTCCTTGGGAAAAGACAACGTGTTGAGACAGACAGAGGATCGGAGAGGGAGAGAGGACCCTCAACAGACCGATTGACACAGAGACTGTAACAACGGGCTCGAGGAGCAAGGACTGTGAGCATGGCGCAAGATCGGGCAAGGTTTCCATCCTGTTCAGAAGCCGCTGGGAGCTGTCTACTTGATGGCACACAACAACAAGAACACCATCACCTAGATTAAGATGGAGAGCGGTCCCAGTATCCCGCTGACTGAACGTGACATGGGATTTATGGCTTTATTCTCGGTCTGCATCGACCACAACTTGATGAAGACTTCCCCAGGTGTGAAACTGCTGGTCCCTTCACCCAGAAGACAGCCAGAGTTGGGAAAGTAGCGTGGGGAGGTGGGGACAGTAGCCTGGGCAGGTGGGGACAGTAGCCTGGGGAGGTGGGGACAGTGGCCTGGGCAGGTGGAAACAGTAGACTGAGCAGGTGGGGACAGTAGCCTGGGCAGGTGGGGACAGTGGCCTGGGCAGGTGGGGACAGTAGCCTGGGCAGGTGGGGACAATAGCCTGGCGAGATGGGGACAGTGGCCTGGGGAGGTGGGGACAGTGGCCTGGGCAGGTGGAGACAGTAGCCTGGTGAGATGGGGACAGTGGCCTGGGGAGGTGGGGACAGTGGCCTGGGCAGGTGGGGACAGTGGCCTAGGGAGGTGGGGACAGTAGCCTGAGCAGGTGGGGACAGTAGTCTGGGGAGATGGGGACAGTAGCCTGGGCAGGTGGGGACAGTGGCCTGGGGAGGTGGGGACAGTGGCCTGGGGAGGTGG